TCAGCGGCAGAGGAGAACAGGGGAGAGAAAAGGACCGCTCGGCGTAGGGACGAAGAAGGAAGGAAGAGACTGGGCCGGGCCGGGCCCAGCCACGCGCGGGGAATAAAAAGAAAAAGAAAAGCGGGCTGGGTTCGCGCGGGGAAAAGAAAAAGAAAAGAAAAAGAGAATGGACTGGGCCCGTGCGGGGGGGAAAGAAAAAGGAAAAAGAAAAGGGCCAGGTCGGCCCGGCCCCGACCCAGCCCAACTCGGAAATTCCTTTTTTTTTTTTTTAACTCTAATAGATCCTATTAATACAAATGTGCCTAAATTCTATATGCAATGCATTTAAATAGAAATATTTTTTTGTTTTAGGAATTAAAGAAAATTAACTCCTAAATTTTGTGTAATTAATTTTGGGCAAATTAAAAATAGGTGTCAACACTGTATAAGCGACATATATGTCATTGGGAGACAAACACAATCTGTACAATCAATTGTATATATTACAGTACCCAACCTTATTTGAATCATGAAACAAAGAAATAACATTGTTCTTAATTTCAAAAGAGTAGCCATACATGTTTAAACACGATACGAAAACTAAATTCCGTCTAAAAGAAAGTACATAAAAAGTGTCTTTTAACATTAATCTAAAACCAGAGTCTAGAATTAAGATAACATTTCCCACAAACACCACGTTGACTTTCTCGTTGTTTCCCACAGTGAGTCTTGATTCATCCTAATTTGGCATCCTCCAATTTATGAATCACTGTATGGTAAACACAACATGATTAGTTGCACCACTATCTAGCCACCAAGAATTGGATGATGCTTCTGATAGGTTGGATTCACAAATAAGTACCAAAGAATCATTACCTGTAGGCTCACGTTTGGAGATCCAAGCCTTAAACTTCCCACAGTCCTTCTTTATATGACTTTTCTTTTTACAAAAGAAGCAGCGGTCACCATCCTTCTTGAAGGATGTTTTCTTTGGATCCATATTGTCAGATTGACCGGTAGTTTCATGAGTACTTTTTTTTTTTTTGGTAAGGTAGTTTTATGAGTACTTTTATGAGTACAATTTCTGAACTTCTTATTCTTCCTCTTGTGGGAACTAGAAACATATAAGGCTAGATGCCCTCTTTCCTTCTTAAGTTTCTCTTCCTCTACCATCACCCTAGCTATCAAGTCATTAACCGACCAAGTCTCATATTGGAAATTGTAATTTATTTTTATAATCCCAAAATCAGGTGGAAGGATGTTCAGGGCTTGATGCACAATGCAAGCATCAGGAATGGAAACATTAAAAGCTTGAAGCTTCGTCTTTAAGTCTATCATCAGGACATAATCTCTAACCCCAACAGTACCATCATATTTCATATTGAAGAGCCTTTGAAGAAGTGTACCAACCCTAGCATTAGATGAAATGCGGTTTCTAACCTCTAAGGCTGCCATCATTTCCTTAGCAGTATAGTCAGCTAGCAAACCACTTTTCATTGTCAATAAGCAAATCCAATTGCTCTTTTCCCAGGCAGCATAGTGCGCTTTCTCAGTTTCAATACTGGTGGCCGTGATATCTGCCGGCTTATCCTTTGTAAGAGCAATGTGAACATCCGCCAGCTTCATTCCAAATAGAAAATCCTCTTTCCATTTCTTAAAATTCAACCCAATAAGGACCTCAATGGAAATGGAATTGCCATTTACAGAAAAGGTGACTGGAAAACAAACAAACAATACAATCAGCATCATGTGAGTACTTATGCAGAGAGTTACATACATTATCACATAATCACCTTTGGGCAAAAAATATGACATGCAGTTGTAGACTCTCCACATGATAGCGGCCATGAGAACATATTCTAATCTTTCGTGAAATCACCACCTTTGGGTGTATGAACTACTAAGATCAGTCATTCCTCAAGCATATGTCGTACATGTATCTCTCCATGAACCAATACAAAATCACCTCTTTTGGGAGTATGACCATGCATTAGAGCAGGAGACATCCCACCACAATATGAGACCGCTATTTCTCAAACTCGGTCAAGTGTGCCACTTTGGCGGTCACTTTCCAACTGAATCCTTGAAAATCTCTCGTACCAGGGATATGAGCTTTATGTATCACATTCACTGTATACATGTAATGCTAGACATAAAGACGGGGGCGTATATCTCTGAAATTACATGTCATGCTAATTATATTGTTCCATTCATTGATAGACAATAAATTACACTCTACACAGTCCTTATGTGGTGATATACATGTGAGCTACCATATGCATTTCCGAAACCATAGAGAAATACAAGAAAATACGCAAAAAATACCCTAAAAATAAGCGTCTATAGGGTTCTATACATATTTTCACATCTTTAAAAGCTTTAACCATGTAAAATAAATACACCACAATGTAGAGAATCTCGATACGAGCGCGTTGGTACTAAGAACGTCCCAAACGGAAGTTAGATGCGCCTTCACGCGCCGCTGGAAAGCGAGGCGCGTTTTTAGCTGGTCAAATCGGTCTGAACCGCCGGTCCAACCGGTCAACGGCCAACGGATCGGTCCAACCGGTTGACCGTCGGGTCAACATTTGGGTCGGGTCAACATTCGGGTCGGGTCATCGGTCATGTTGGGTCAGGATCCGGGTCAACCCGGATCTGAGCCCCCGTTGACGTCATGTTAGCGGTTACCAGTGGGGAGACGCACCGGTTCGTCATGGCCGCGCATGGCCATCACGCGCCGCCGCGCCCACAGCGTGTGTCGGCACGTGAAGATGTGTGCGACATCCCCTGGTGACGTGCCACCCGTCATTCTACTCGTCTTGACTAGTAGATTCCAAATATATAATAAAATTCAACTTTTATCTGACTAAAAATTTCAAAAAGTGGCAAAAACCTCTTGATCAAGACGAAAATGGTCTTCATCCGCGTGTTTCAGTTCTAATCTATGGCAGGCTCTGATACCACATGCAGGCCACGAAAATGGCACACCTAGGATCACCATAAACAGAAATCGAAACATGTAAATGGAGAAATTATCTATTCGCGTACCTGCTTTAGAATCCACCGAACCTAACGTGGAATTGGTGACGGTTTCTGAACACGAACTCAAGTACATCTCTCCTATACCCTTTGTCGGACACTGGCCTAATGAGATTGCCACTCACGAGAAGAAATTCCTCTCTAGATCCGTATGTGAGTCAGATTATGCATCATCATGTTAGGGGAGGGACTTGAGCACTATTTATGGAGTTTTCGACCACGGGCCCTCTCATTACGAGCCGGGCCGTACTCGGCCCACACTAGCCAGCTTCATATTAGACTTATTAAGAACCCACATATCTCACATTTATTTGACCAAACTAATTCAGTTAATTTCAATTAATGAAGCCCATATTAGGATATTCTTACATGAGGGACAAAAAAAAAATGGAGGGAGAGTTAAATCCTACCATGAGATAAATAGAGAATAGTTGAACGGTCGAAAATTTTAATTTGAAAGATATTTTGGTCAATGATTTACAAAGAGGTGGTTATACCAATGAATGGGATGGAAATAGAGGCTGCCTTTACATATATGTAAGTGATAATCTGCATATCATATCCATGAAACCCTAGATTATCTCAAACTTGAAAGAGTAAATTCAAATCTGAGCAGATAACTAACTACCAAAAATAAATATCATTGAAACCCAAAAAAATCTAAATAACGAAATAGACAAAATCCCAATATCAAGAGTACTTGCACGTTCTTACGTCATCTTCTGTTGATATAAGATAAATTTTATACATTAACTGTTGAATTTTCGCTTGTGTCATTCATTCTGTCGATAATTTACTTGTTTTCCACTGACAGAGGACAGATCAAATGAACCGAGAGTAAAGCTGCAGAGAGGGAGCGCAAGTAAGCGAGGGACCTAGAGAAAGTGACTATTCATAAGTTGATTTCTGTAAGCTGTTCTTCCAACTTTCTGTTTATAGCTAAACAGAGTAAGTCCAAGCGATTTCATTAGGAAAGAGAGAGGGGTAGAGGAGACAGGTGCAGCCAATCATCTGCACAATGGAGTGAACATATTTAATGTCCAGATGAAGGTGCTAATTTTCTTTTTTGGCCATCAGAGAATGCACCGATCATTTCCTGAAGTCACCAATATTAATATGGCAAAACAGTGTTGACGATGACTGTGATATTATAGCTGCTTCATGCAAAACTCATCTCTTTTCTTGAGATATATAACCTCCCAAAACCCTAATTTGAGAGCTCGATGAAGCACTAAAAATAGCAATATCCGTGTTACTGTACTGATCTGAGAGATATTATCAACTAGATAGCTAGCAAAACCTCAGTTCCCTTTAGACATTAGTGTTCATTCATGGTCGGCCAGATAATACATAAAGCACTCGCCAAAGATAAACCTAAAAAAATCTGATGTACGAATACAAAGAAAAAAGCGAAAAAGTGAGAGGGCGAAGAGAGCATTATAAATGGAAGAATAATTATGATGGCCAAAACATAATGGAGAATAATCCTAACAATGATGAAACAAAAGCTGAAATGGAAAAGCCAAAACCCCAGAAAAAGTTGCATAAAAGAATGGCCCAGAGAGTTTTTTTTTTTTTTTTTAGTAACCGAGGTGTCCGGGCCAGCTTGTGCGCACCTCGACTATTCCTCGGGGGAGACTAGCACAACAACCCACCGCCATGGCCCCCCACTTAAATCACAAGTGCTCAGCTGGGGAATCGAACCTGGGACCAGTGCGCCTAACCACACAATTCCAAGTACGCCATAACCAACTGAACTACCCATGGGTGGGTAAATGGCCCAGAGAGTTTATGATATCATAAACCAAAGAATTTTCTGGACAGCACAAATGCATCATCCACAGAAAGAGGATTAAAGGAACACGTCGATTAGATTATTACTTAGGAATATACTATACCCAGATGAATATATTTGAAACATTAGAAGCTGAGATTAAGTGATTCTTGCTTATAGAGGAAGATCTATGGATGGCAACCAGAGCTGAAACCTTGAACCAATATATACTCACATAACTTCTTAACTTTCACTACTGGGAGAAAGCAAGATTCGACCACCCATATCACAAGTTATAAGCAAAACATGCATTTCGCTTTTGAACATATGGGTAAAACATTTTCCCCAAGCTGAAAAAAAAAGAGGGCATTCCAAATATAGCAGCAAGCCTTCAGCATCATCTTGGTCTGTTGATCTTAGTTCGTACTAGCAGCTAGCAATAGAAATGGCAGTACCTAAAATTGAATACTGTGACTCCATTAGGGACATTGGCAAGTTTTTCATTCCTTCCTTCCACTTGATGAATCGATTCCACAGGACGTCCTGAAATTTTAACAACTAATTGTCGTAGTTATCAAAATAGCTTCTAAAGGAACAATATGAAGCCTTCTGAAATCTGAAGGCCGGACAAAATGGCCTTTCAAAAGAATGTAAACATTCATCGGCCACGAAAACAAGCTCCTGCCAATAGTGAATATTTATTACTTTTCCAAATTCTCTAAATCCCCGTGATTAACTTGTGCTCAAAGACTAATCTTCCCATGTCCGAGGTACGAGTCATTTTGGTGCTGTTGCATTGAACTTATGGTGAAGCAGACTTTTCAATTTACGGGGCATAATCTACGTTCCATTTTCATTTTTTTTACTTGATGATTGTATGATAGTTTATGTGCGGATATACTTGTGCATGCTAGTGAAGAAAAATTTTCGGATGAACACGCACAAACAAGGTATTTAGCATTAAGTATATGCTTTATTCTTTAATGGAGGAATAAATTTCAAGCATGTATAAGTCATAAGCATGAGCTATTCCCTCGTGAATCAAGCATTAAACAGGCAAAACGAAACATTGCAATCAAGGAATTGTTCAGTTGGTGTCCGCTATATACATAAGCCCTTTGTCTCAATCCGAGGCAGGATCTTTAGGCAGAATCACTATCGCAATAAGCATTTTCAGAAGCTAGAAGTGCTGGATCTTCACAAACTAACTCTTGGAAAATCAAATTGGTATTTAACTTTACAAATTGCTTAATCTGACTTGGTTAAGAAGATTGATAAATGCTATGTCAAATCAATTTCCCTCGTATCATTGTAGTTTCTTGTCGCTTAACATTAATATCGTATTAACAATGAAACACCGCCTCCATGGCTAGACATTCTTCTGTTTGTACCTAACTCAGAGCTCTCACTAAGAACTGTGAATTTTCTCTTCCCTGTTAAGTTTTCATCATGTTATTTGACATATCACACAAACAGTCTCTGAAGGCGTACTCAGCTTTCTTCTGGCCATTTTTCCCTAGGAAAATACGCATTAGTGAGAAAGGCGCATGGCTACCTACATATATTCGAATTTCAGAAGTATTTTTAACGTAAGCATTCATGATAATACCTCTACTTGACAATGTTTAGCTAGGATCAGTTGATATGTGTTAATCATTAACATCTTATCCTTACTTTGAAGCCTCAATTCCATAAAATTGGCAATGGTTTATTTAGTAGAATAATGCCAGAAATACTAGGTCACGCTCCTGACCCGCTTGTAGTTAGTGACGTATTTTAAACATTTTTTTATGTTAATTGATCTTAAAATACCTACCGCTATTCCTGTCTACTTATATATAGTTACTCAGTCGTAATATTCCAAAAACTTTTTCATAGACAAATTAATCATACCACTAGAAGTAGTTGTAACCGCAACTAGATCCCACTTATATTAAAATGGAACATCCACATTTCTTTGAATATAGTTGGCTCTATCACAAACATTTGTGATTGAATGCATCCAATAACAACACTCTTTATCTTTGCATCGACAAATATAGATATAGTAAGATTAATTTACAAAACTTGCTTATTATGTGATGTTGCAAATTACAAGTGAAATTTAGGCAAGTGATTATATTCAACACTTAGTGAGAGTCTATTGCATCACGTTGTAAATCAATTTGGTCAACTAGTCTTAGAATACCTAGTGTTATTCATGTCTTAATTTCTGAAAATGGACGAGGCATGCACTATGGCTATGTCACTAGTAATGTGATAAGTTTACATATAACAGCAACTACTTGGAAAACCGCATCACATCAGCCTCTTGGGTAGTACAACCAAAAGTTGGATTCATTACATCCAATTTAATCAGTCAACATGGGTTTCTTATCTAGATTTGAATAAATGCACTTTCTAATCTAGGAAGACCAATCTTTTGTGTGAGAATGATATTTGTGCAAGCAAAGTAATCATTTAATTCTTTGTTTGAACTGTGTTCAAGATGAAATTCTCAGTTGTATTTTCATCCCTACTCCTATTAAGTGTCAAAGGAGAACTGGTAGACAAGCCAATCCAACAAAATAAATTTTGTCAACTTCCTTTTATGACGAGGAAACATATCATAAGTAGATAAGTCTTGAACTCGTGAAATACCTAACTAACCTTGTAGATGTATTATTCAACTTTGGTCTTCCTCTAAGCTTGCTTGCAACTGTACTATTTAACAATGCCAAAGAGACAATTTCATCATTTAGGTACATGTAACTAGCCAGGACCTCTATACTCACCAAATGGCCTCTAACTATAAGAATGAAGCATGCATGTAAATGAGACTTAATCTCGAACGTGGCGTTTAGCGCATTTATCAAATGAATGACGGTCATAATCACCTGTAAGGAAAGGTCGGTGCAAACCAAAATGAGACTGATGAGAATAGAATCAAACACACAAGATCAAGAGCATAATGTGCTTCACAAGATGTATAAAAAAGTCCCTTTTTATGACGCCTTCGTTAATCTCAGTGCAGAATTAATTAAGACAAGTTTTGTCAACTTTAAGCAAAAGAAAAGGTACTATTAAATAAGCAATTTGCCTTCACGTACATAGAGGATATTGGCAATGATGAGAGCTTGAATATAAAAACGTTAAAGGCTGATGTGAAAGCATGCATGAATCAAATAAAGTATCTGCAAAGGATTATTTTAAGGAACCTTAAAAAACTGGATCAATTATTTCCTTCCAATTACTATGGTTATTTTAGTTGAATTAAGTGTGTCCGTCGTACGAACAGATCATTAATGGGGGCACGAAATCTCAAGAGTCTTAAAGGATCCGGAGGATTTTAAAAAAGATACCTCATCAACATGCAAATGACAAGATGAATGTCATTAGATTACCAATAATTTATAGACACTGTTTTCAATATCGTGTACCATATATGGCACAATAATGATAGACAGAGATTGAGAATAAAGAGGAAGGTTCAGAGATTAATTCTTCCTGTATGAAATTAGGGTTACTGTTTTCTTTTGTTGCTTGTTATCACTGTACTAATATAGCTATCGTGTGCATCCCATACTCTATACGAATCATATACACTACTGGAAGATGCGTGCTTCGATGTCAAATCCTCAATACAATCAAAGTAAGTTGAATATCAGTTCAAGAATTATGCCGATCAAACTGTGTCAGTCAAAATTCAAAATCAAGAAAAATTCTTTGGGGGGTCAATTACCACTTATCAAGAGAAGCTCGCGGCGCCGGAGCTCGACTCCTCACTCCCCTTGGTTTGATTGGTCGCTTTCTTCTTCTTCTTATATGGAATCCCCCTTGCCTTGGCTTGGGAATCCCTCACTTCTCGGAGATAGACTCGGATGGCGCCGCTAGCGAAGGGGTTTGTTTCCGGGGTCCCTCCGTTTTCTTCGTAGGCAGCTCGGAGCCTCCCGATGAGTGCATCAAGGCTTCCCCAGGCTTGCCTGAGCGGGCACGTGCACGGAGCCGGCGGCTCTGGCTGCCCGTAGAACATGCATCCTTGGATGTGAACTTTAGTCTTGCCTATTTCAAGCATCGCAATAAAGTCAAGGTAAAAAATTCCATGTATCGGATGTTCGTGACATGTGCAAAACGAAATGATACCATTATGTACGTAAACCATTTGCTTAAGCTTTTAGAGTCTGTAAACACTTATCAATTGAACTAGAAGCTATGAAAGAGCGGCATTACCGAACTGATCTAGATAGCGGAGGAATTCGAGAACTTGAGTGTAGTTGCACTGTGAGAGTGGAACTGGGGGCCTTTGGTTCTTCAGGTACTGAATGAAGGCATTCCAATCTCTTCTTTTCTGCGACTCGTACCGGCTCGGCGTCGCCGGAGAATCGCCACCGGGAGATCTAGACGATCCTTCGACGATGTCCTTCCCCCTTTCGCTCGACATGATCTCTCTCTCCCTCTCTCTCTCTTAGAATCACCCAGAGAGAGAAGAAACTCTGATGAAACACTGATGGAGGGTTTCAGTTTTTGCTAAATAAGGCAATGACTGAGGAGAGGTGGAGGTCAAAACAACAGGAGAGAAATCGGAGTGGAGAGGGAGATGAAGAAGATCATGTCATGGGCCTCCTGAGTAGACATGGCGTGGGCCAAAGGAGAGGTTGCTCTCTCTCTCTAGCGTTTCTTCTTTATAATAGACGGTGACAATTATAACCAATATTTCACTCTCGAGAGTTTGAAAAGCAGATGTATACTGAAGAAGAATTGGCGCAATAGTGGTCTAATCTTTGACAAAACTAGTCCTAGAGATGTGAGGTCGGATTTCTGGTTCCTTCTTTCTCCCTACTGGAGTCCCTCATGAAAAGAAAATAAGAAGGAAAATTTGAACTTGCTTTGAACTTGAGGGTCTTAATGTAAAATGCCCCAAAAAAAGAAGAAGATTTTTTAGACTACAATAAATATACTTCGATTAGGAGTGCGATAGTAGAATATTCTTACATAAGGATCAGGAAGATTCATAGCCAATTGACCAAAAATAAGGTAAGACTAAAAAAATTATTATTAGCAACTCATTGAGTTGAAGGTTTAAGGTATTGTATTTGGATGGAACAGAGAAGTTATAATTTCTTAAAAATCTTGAAGTTTTTAATGGGAATTAGTTAGCAGCCGTGGAACTTACTCGAGAAGTCCAGCTTTGACTCGTAGAAACTACTTCTCTGGAAACTTTGTTACATCCTGACCCACTTTAGTTGAAGAGTAGATATGAATGAGATCTTCTCTTTGAGATTTCCTGTCGTTGTTCTGCTTGTCATTTTCAAGAATAAACCTGAAAATATCATTAAATTACCTGATATAATTGCTATACAGAACTTACGCATATATGTCATTATCTGTTGAAGGCATAGTTACACATTAAATAATTAAAAAAATAAGTTAATAAAATGACTTTCATACGGGGTGTCATTCGATCCTATGAAGTCGATCTTCCCAGCTTAATATAATCGTCTTGGATATCTTTTCCTTGAATGGTCTTTTATTATAATATAGCGGAGTAAATTGCCTCGTTTATTTAAAGAAGAAAATCATTATCGACGGTTTCTTGATTGGGAAATAGCCTAGGACTTCAGATAGTTTTTCCCATCCCTAAATTCATAAGCCCTAATTTTCTTCTTTTTTCCGGGTTTATGCCAACAAAAAAAAACCTCATTTTAATATCAGAAAATTACTAGGGCAATGCACCACCAAACATTGCTGCTACTGTTCTACTCATCTCCATTAATCTTCAACCCGAAAAATTATGGGAAAGAAGAGGACCCTCTTCCTCTTCCTCTTCGGTCGTTCGTAGTGAAAAAACCAAAGAAATTAGGTCGGCATGTGACATGTTTGTGGAATTAAGCCAAATCGAGGGGGGTTGGATTTGGCCTCAATAAGTTCGCAAGTGCCATGATTTGAGTGGTGCGAGTGAGGAGGGAGTCCTGAGGTACACGTCAATTCTCTTTTGATGGAGATGACATCTGACCAATCTTTTGCGTCCCACTAAAGAAGATTCCTCAAGCATAAATATGATTGGATGCCACGACCCTTCATCATTTTTTATTGCCTAATTATAGCATCATCAACGTCAGATGGTCCAAAAATGATGTACTGGACGACCATAACGCTATTTCGCTTTATTTTTTATTCACAATTTGGAATGAATCGGAAATAAATAGAAAAAATGATACAAATAATTTCTGAATTTTAACTTAGCATGTAATGAGGTTCCTGAATTTTAATCCAATTTGCAACGTGGTCCACAAATTTTTAATTTGTCCAACATGTTCAAACTAGTCTGGAGACTAGTTTGAACATGTACCAAAAAATTTTATAGACCATATTGAACAAATTAAAAATTTAGGGACCACATTACATATTGGGTTAAAGTTCAGGGACTTTATTAAACAAATTAAAAGCTCATGGACCATATTGCACTTTAGACTAAAGTTTAAGGACTATTTGTATCATCCAGGTGCCATGACGCTTCACAATTTTCCTACGTAATACTGCATTGTTCGGGTAAGCTGATTCTGAATGCATCAATAGAATCACGTTAAAAGAAAGGCTCCATTCAGTTTGAGCATAAAATTTAGACCACCAAAAACATATTTATTTAGCCTCCCCCCCCCAATCTTTTGAGTAGATCTAGGGCGACCTGTCATTTATTTTTGGGGTACTTATATCAATTGTTCCTAAAATTTGACTCAATATTCAATAAAAATCCCTGCACCTTTTGGGATAACGTCATTAACCCTTTATTTTTTGGGTAGATTGAGGAAGGGGCCACCGTGCATGGCGTCAGAGGTGTGGTCGTGCCTAAGGCGTATTGCCTATGGATGACTAACATGGAGCGCTCGTACCGAGAATCGCCCGATTTAATTCAATTTTCGAAAGTGTCAATTCGGTTTCCGGTTTCTAAAAGTGAAATCAGTATCCGGATAGTCCGGTTCCCGGTTTCCGATTCTAGAGTAAGAACCGGATCAACCGGATCAGACCGAATATATATATATATATATTTTTTATTTTTTGAAGAAAGTAGAAACTGAAACCCTAATTTGCCTTTCCAATTTCCCAAATTCCCTCTCGGTGATCTCACCTTTCCCTCTCGCCTAACCAGTAACCCCTTGCTCGCTTGAACGCCGACAACTCGATGCCTTTCCCTCTCATGGCCTCGCCTCACACCGCGCTCGACATCGACGACTTGACGCCTTTCCCTCTCGTAGCCTCGCCTTACGTCTCGCTCGATGTCAATGACTTGGCACCTTTCCCTCTCGCCTCACGCCTCGCTCGACATCAACACGCTCGACTCTCATTTGAGTTCAACATTCAAATGTAATGTCTGACTTCCTCTTGGTTGAAGAAATCCGACACGAGGCAATATCTCGACCAGGGGAAAAGTGTGAAATGTGGTCATGGGGATGCCCATACTAGAATTTTATAAAGCGGGACCAATAATCTTCAAAGAGCAAAAAAGTGTCCCAGTTTGTGACTAGAATTTTTATTCCAAATATTTTTTTTTATTCAATGTAATGATAATAAGTGATTAGTTCCATTAAAACTAGACCAGACCACCAGTCGAGTCTGGTTCTCGGTCCCAAGACCAGTCGGTCCAGTCCCCAGTCCCTAAAATTGGAAACCAGTCCTCCCGGTCTGGTTTCCGGTTCTAGGTGGGATTGAATCGAACCGAAAACCTATCACCTCTAGTGTTGCCGGTGAAGGCAACGCAACCAGAAACGAGGCAATGACCTGGTGGTGTTCAGAGGTTTCAAGCATAGTATATGGTGGGAGGAAGAAGATGTTTTTGCATTTGATATTTGACATGTTACGTGTTAAATTTAAATTGGACATTGTCTGATTATATCTAACTAGAGAGGATTCAGATCCCAATTATATATAATCTCACTAGCCGACTAAAGTATTTTGAGTAACAGGATCTAAGTGGATTTGGGTCATATTTAAAGCAACAATACGTTATTAAGCAATAATCAACACTGTTCTTAACAAACTTCAGACTGTTCCTTCCAGCTCCATAAACAGTGTAAAAGTAATATTTTTACTAATAGTTAATACCACAAAAAACCCCAAATTGGTACTAATTTTTTTATCACCAAAAATCTCAAATTGATATACCTATAACAAATTTACCCTCTATTAGTTTTTCGTTAAATTTTATCGTTAAATTGCTGAGTTCGATAACACGTGGCAAATGACGGGTGTATCAATTTAGGGTTTTGCCGCTGTTTGTCACATGTATACCAGTTTGTGATTTTTCGTGATATTAATCGAATTTAATGAAAACGAACATAAGGCAAATTTATTACAAATGTACCATATTAGGATTTTTGGTGGTCAAATAATTAGTACGGGGTAAATTTGCTACAGGTATACGAGTTTGGAATTTTTTGTGGTATTAACTCTTTTACTAAATTAGGGCAATTTTCTTACCAGTAAGCATTGAGATCTATGTTGGGTCCAAAAACACAAATGTTTGTGTGTAATTCTCATATTTTGTGATTGACATTGTCCCCATCTCAACGACAGAAGCTCTTGATTATTAGGGTTTAAGATTTATGGTGTAGGATTTCATAGTTTAGGGTTTAAGGGCTCTCATCGCTCAGGTATCTTTTTCGAACAACATTTTTTTTTTATTCCACGTAACCTCTTGAGAGGAATCTTATGGCAAACAAGAAAGTACTACAAAATAATGGGAATCAAGCTATTCGAACACGTCTCTTGATATTCTCTTGTCGTAAGATCTTTGAGTTGGCAAAACTATGGGAGAGCAGAAATCAATGCTTAGGCCTCTTTTTGGAACCATATTTTTTTTTTAATTCTGCATAACTTTTCGACAGAAATCTCATTGCAAACAATAAATAGCGAGAACCAAGATATTAGAACAAGCATTATGTTATTTTCCCAGTTGTAAATAGTTGGAGAGAAAAAACTGGAAGAGATCATAACTCATCGCTCAGGCATTTTTTTGAACGATTTTTTATATTCAATATTTATTTTCAATTCTGGGATGATTGGAGCTAATACTGTAGCCTCTCCGCAACCCCAATATATTGAGTTATTTGTTTTCCGGAAGAACATGATTCTATATGTGATATTACGATCGATAGAGACCGGCTCTAATCATCTCCAATTGCATATTCCTTTTGGGGCAGCAAACCGAATTTATTTCGGAATGGACTATTACACTACATCACAAGTTAAATTTTCCAGATGGAATAATAGCAGCTCTGCAAAATCCATCAGCTGTAAGCCGAGGAAACAATTTATAGTAACATTGAGTAACTTGATAATAGTCTTCTATGGATATACTAATTCACCTACCTGGAAATTGAATTACAAGTGAAGAACTTCATCTTTCATGTGAATAGCTACCCTAATCCCAAATAATGACGGGACTGATTCCATTTCAGGATTGAGACAAAGACCAAAAACAGTTCATTTAATTCAAACTTCAGATTTAAAATGACATGAACCTGCAGCTTGTGATACGATCTTAATAGTATCAGTCAATTCTTTGATTCTTTCTTCTTAACACTTTGGTTCCTTAGCACTCCAGAGACATTTTTTAAATCTGTTCTAGGTTGATTTTGTTGTCTCAA